TGCTTTTGCAACTGGGATACTGCTGGTTATCTTACGCACGCAATATCTATACCATTGGCTCCAGCCGGCGCCGTTTGCAAAGGCTAAAAGTCGTGATTGGAATATGCGAACCTGGAAAGCTATAGGCGTTTGCCTGATTGGCTATGTCCTATGGAATATCGACCTGGAATATTGTGCCACGCTTCGAGCCGTGAGACGGCAAGTCGGGCTGCCTTGGGCTTGGCTATTCGAGTTCCATGGTTTATGGCATGTTCTGACGGCTATTGGGGCTAGTCAATTCATGAATGTAGCAAGAGAAATGCGAGAAGAGGTTTACCTGGAGAAGAAGGACAAGTAACAGTCGCATGTGTGAAAAACAGTGGCAATGGGTTGTTATGTTAAGGGTTGTCTTGGAAAATCTCACAAGATTTTATCGCATAGACTGCGGAATATAGTCTATACATGGATCCCACCCCGATAGGGAAGAAAAGAAACGAAAAGAGTTTGAGCATTCCCCAGATGGTTCGCAAAAAAGCTGGGCTTCGTCGAAAGGATCGACGTATTGTCATCAGTCCTTCAAAGATACTACACATCCTTCGGCACTAGCGACGACCAAGGTGAGAATTTGTCTCTCTTGCCCGACTTTGACTTCCCTCTCTCCACGAGGCAATTCGATTTTGGGGAAGACCTGCACCAATCGCGCCACTGTGTATGCAACTTCAAGTAAAGCAAACTCTTCTACATGATGAGTCTCGTCAGTCACGGGCCGAAAAAAAAACAACACGGCTCTGGGGAGGACTTTTCTTACGACCCAAGCACAATCTCGGCCCTCCGTTAAATGGTAGATATGCCCATCCAATATCCCTTAAAGAATCACCTTCCCAACGCTCAGGGCGAAACTCCTCGGCGTCCTGGCCGTAGATGTCTTTACGGCGATGCATTGCATATACGCAGTACCCAACTCCCTCGCCTGGCCTTACGAGGACCGGAGACTTGCCGTCGGGCCCGCCACCTACAGGCAACGTTGTAAGTCGTATGGCCTCTCTCGAGTTGACGGGTACGGACGGATAAAGACGAAGGACTATTTCCTCATTAGACTGGATCTTGGTATTGTGAGCGGAAATGGCAAAAATAGGACTGATCAGGGCGACGATAGCATGCCTTCTTTGATGACCAGTTGGAGATATGACATGCGTCTCAGGTCTTCCCTTGTGGGCAGAGGTGCGCTTGATCCCAAGCCCGATATCTGGTCAATTTCTCTGCGCAATTTATCGAGGATATGCTGGTGGCGAGCAAGAAGACGACTGCCACAGTCAGTATTCGACATATCTCAGTGGTGGAATTCGCCATACAATGTCCAATGAAGACAACACGCTGTTGTATCGCGCCCTGCAAGCAAAACATTCAAACACTGGTCCCGGAGAACCCGTGGGTCTCTTGTTTGCTGCATGAGAGCCTCCACAAACACATAAGTATCGGCGTCACGATGCTCTCCTTTTCCTCCCTGGTCTGTCTGTACAAAAGCCTCCAACGCTTTTGCGATGCCTTTATCCATGAAATCGTGACACGTTTTGCACGCATCCCGAAAAGCCTTGTCATTGAGCAGCCAGTAGAATGGGCCCAAGCGTCCGCGGTGAGACAAATATTCTTGCGACAAATTGAATGCTTGCGCGAATTTGGACTCCTGACCAGCCACTTGGCCCCAGTCGGAGCTGTTGACGGAATTACCAAAAAGCAAAAACATGGTTGTATCGAACGTCAGCTTGAAAAACAAAGGCTGGAGGTCGACTATTCCGTCACCGGGAATCGATTCGATGAGATGCTCGACACATTTTTTAACCTGTTCAAAATTGTGCACTCGGTTTGACGCAAACTGTGGCCGAAGCAGCTGCCGCGAGTGTCTCCAAGCTGCTCCATCCTGTGTGAATATACCGCTGCCAAGAACGGGTTGAAAATTCGGGGCACGCAATCCTAGGCTATAATCTGTGGTTGTGGCATCAGCCCCGACATGTTTGGATGTTTTGTTTGTGACGGATGGTCGATACCATTGAAATTGGTGGACAGGATAGCCTCAATATTGGCCGGGTCAACCGTGTTGACGCCGCGTCCACCCAGCAAATTCTGCTGGAAAGTGGTTCCCGATTGCTCTACTACTTGTAGAAAATAATGCAAAATCTGCCCTCGTCTTGCGTATGTAAATGCCTTTAGCAGCAAGTCTAGCCCCAAGGGCCACTTGGCTGACCAAGGCCGCAACGGTTGGCATCCACGCTCAGATGCAAATCGCTTCTCGGTCTAAAATGGTCATGGAGAGCAGTGTCAGTGCTAATTACGCGGGCTTTTTCTTGATTGTGCTACCTCTTGCTGGACACGCCGCTTCCAGATCAGCCATACTACCACCACCGATACCAACACAGCGACACATCGGGAAACAGGTCCAGTGGTCGTGAATTGCATCGCGCAATGGCTTGGGCGAGATATGATGGCTCCCGATGACAAATATTGGTGTGAAATTCGGCCGTCATGAAGCAGTGGCCCGGGTACAAGGAATGGCTTAGACACAGAGAAATTGGTCAAGGAAAGAGGGGAAGAAAGAAGGAAAAGGAGAAGTAAGCCCTAGTTTGCGCCATTACCGTATTACGGTCGCACAATTGTTTACATGCATGGAAGCGGTCGCCCTCTCCATGTTTTTCAGCCTCGTTTTGATCAGACCAGACCGGACCCGGACCCGGACCCGGACCCCAGCCGTCTGCTGGTATGGAAAGGCTAGGGCAAAGATAAGGATGGTAAAATCGTGCTCTATTCTGATCGTCTTGTAAAGCCTGGGTAAAAGGCTAGAGGAAGAAGAATGTGCAGATGGCTTTTCATCCGCACGCGATCACGTGAGACCCTCAACAGCTGAAACAATATATTTTGACGACTATACCCATCAACTACTTCAAATTATCTGCTATTCGTGTGAATATACTCCAGACCATTAAGCTCTCTAACGTGTCTGGGAAGTGTTCCGCGGCACAACCTCAAACACTTCTACAGAGCAGAATCTCATGCTGTCCCGTCCATACTTGAGAGTAAGCGTGACCTCTAGGCCCTTTGGACCATCTGCCATACAGGTCTGATATATATACTGCGAGCCCAGGAACTCCCTAAATGTCTGCGTCTTGGGGGGATCGGCCTTGGCGATGGAAAAGTCCTTGGCCCAGACAAGCTGACAGCCAATAAACACCTCGGCCTTGACGACTTCGGTACACTTTGGCTCTCCATAGCTGTTACACGAAAATGGCCTAATGTCAAGAAGTTATACAAGGGCTACGGTTACGGGATTAGGGCAGAAGGCCCTTACTGACTTCTTGTATAAATAGACGTCTTCGGTCCATCAAGGCCTTGAGGAAAACCAAGCACCTTTGATACCAAAGACTGTTATTAGTTGAATTGAGCTATTGCTCCAAGCCCTCTTTGAGCCCTTGTCACAAATGTAAACTCTAGTAGAAGATGGTCTTAAAAGCAACACTTGTGGTCGTGTGGAAAGTAAGCATTGCGTCGTCGGCGAGCTATTGCTCACTTACACTCGCTGAATTTCCACCAGCTCTTGTTTTTGCCTGCACACGCCAGCCCTAGCCATAACCGTGGATCCTCCTATGACATGTTTATAGTAGGACGTTTTGCGTGAGCCTGTTATGAAACTAGGTAACAAATCACAAGCCGCTTGGGCTCGTACGATACTTTGCACACGTCACGAATTGTAGTCCGACCCCAATCGGGCACTCAGTTGTCTCTTGAAGGAACCAAACGAGAAAGTGCTGCCGCCATCAGCCACAGGTGATTCGTTGAAAAAAATCATAGGTCTGATTATTGGAATATAGGTCATGTATTTGCACTTGGCTTTGCATTAAATTATAGCAAATGTTATTATTAGCCACAAGCCCAGGCTCATAACTTGTTGATGTGCGTAGTATCTATTCACAAAGTTATATTAGGCCTGGGTGTCTGTTTTAAGGATTGGACTGTACATAATTTGAGCTTTTCCGCAAAGACAAGGTCCCTCGGCTCTCGGCCCAGGACACAATCAATCTAATATCTCAAGCTTGCACTCGCCTGGCATTTTTTCGGCTGGCTATCAGGTACGTCCTCTGCAGTAGAGTTATAGCACGTTTGTAAGTAGCCCTTGTTGAGGAAACGGATGTATCAAGCACTTCGGAAGCTGCTTCCATATTACAACCGGAAGCCATGAATGCAGAGCACTAGACATTGTGCCAAGTGATGGATTGTCCAAGAGCTTCCGGGAACCGGAAAACACCAAGTCGTCGTGCACGCCACGTCATCCCTGCCGACGTTCCGTGCGGGGGATCGCCGGCCGGTTGCACAAACGGGCCTTTTCCTCTCCAACTTTTTCCACTTAACGATCCGATGAAGGGATTTTCCTTGGGCCCTTTGTTCTGTTTCCTGCTCTGCAGAGTAGTACGTAACGGTCGGTGTTGGCATATGCAATGTAACTATCAATGTCGGCTGGTAGTCCATTGCAGCCATCACATGATAGGATAAAGTCTCAAGTGTAATCGGGAGGTCGCTGACAGGTCCGGCCCGGCAGAGGACAAAATACATTTAGTACACCGGAAGATCGGTAATGCGTCGGCTCGGGAAGGGATCAGCACAAGTGCCCCGTTGCGCTTTGTTATTAAGTCTACATGAGCTGAATGTCGCGATAGTTCCACCGCACCACGTCATGAGGAAAAGATGTCGTATAATTGGTTCTTTTGGTAAACTATGTGGGCCACAACCTCTGTCGAGATGCATGAGCGATGACACCATGACAACCGAACGTGGGAAACTCCAGTGTCAAAACGCCGTGTCCAAACGAGTCACGGGCATTATGTATTTTCCTTCATGTCCGGTCGAATACTACCTCAACAATTGCCGGTCGACCTTATTACCGTACCATAACCCAAGCTGCCTAGTGTGAGGCTAGGGGAACGGGCAAAGATTTATAAAGGCATTTGATACCCGGCCGGCAGCATTGCGGCACGATGCCTCAACTTCTCCCAAACCGGAGGGCTGAGAAACACTCTCTTGCCACGGCTGGTCCTCAACCGACAACCCGACCGTCGCCTTCATCGCCAGTAGTTCCAGGCACCCAAGGCATCTGGAACAAGATGGCAATACCATTGTTCTTGCTTGCGGCTCTAGCCCTCGCTTTCCGCATGGCCAGCGGTACAAATCACCATCAAAATGGCACTGCAAAGCCGAATTTTATCTTTATTATGACGGATGATCAAGATCTGCACCTAAACTCCCTCGAATATCAGAACATAGTCCAAAAGCAGCTGATTGAAAAAGGCACCACATTCAACAAACATTTCTGCACTGTCGCATTGTGTTGTCCGTCAAGGGTGTCTCTCCTTACGGGCAAGGCTGCTCACAACACCAATGTTACCGATGTGTCATGGGTACGTCCAAATCTTTCAGACCTTTCTGGTCGGCGTTTATCCTTGTACCATAGATTGATTAACAATGTAAATAACAGCCATATGGTATGTTCTATAAGTGGCTGAGCTCCTCACATTTAGTTTCGATCCATGTGTACGGATCATTCGGCGAACCGTATGTCAGACTGACTGGACTTTGATGTTTTGCAGGCGGATACACGAAATTTGCTAAACAGGGGCTCAATGAGGCGTATTTGCCCGTGTGGCTACAGAGCTACGGGTACAACACATACTACACAGGAAAACTCATGAATCAGCACAGTACTCGCACGTACAACCAGCCCTTTGCCAAAGGATGGACTCGTTCTGACTGTGCGTCATGTCTACAGGCACAAATCCCTGCTTGCTCAAATCCCCAACTGACCGTGTTGTGCGTCTTTAGTCTTGCTTGACCCTGGAACGTATAGCTATCTTGATGCCATCATGGCCCTAGACAAAAATGAATACAGGAGTATAAAGGGCCAGTATTCCACCGACGTCATTGCGAATAGGTCCCTGGAGTTCCTCGATAATGCCCTTGCTGCGGGCAAGCCTTTTTTCTTGGGTGTAACGCCTATAGGTCCTCACGCCAACACGGGGTTTACGACACCGATTCCTGCCGACCGACATAAGCATCTATTTCCAAATGTCTCGATTCCCCGCTCTCCAAGCTTCAATCCAAGTACAGTACGTTGAAACCCGCAGATGAGATTGCGCAATGCTGAGAACCTATCATAGCCCGGCCATGTCAACTATCTAAAGAATCTTCCGCAATTGACCTCTACACAAATCCAATACAGCGATAATTTTTATCGCGCCCGGTTGCAGACACTACAGGCTGTCGATGAGCTAGTTGGCGGCATCATTGATGTGTTGGAGAAAGTCCCAGAAGTCCTTGCCAATACATACATCATCTACACCAGCGACAACGGCTACCACATCGGACAGCATAGATTACCCCCCGGAAAGACGTGCAACATCGAAGAGGACATCAATGTGCCCTTCATCATTCGCGGGCCCGGCATTGCCGCAGGCAAAGAGGTCTCTTTCCCGACCTCCCACACCGACATTGTCCCTACTTTGTTCAAACTCGCGGGGATCCCTCTGCACGAAGACTTTGATGGCGTCCCTATCGCAGTTACGCCCGAAGACCAAAGGCGCCCGGTGCGCAAGAACGAGCACGTCAACATTGAATACTGGGGTCGGGGCTACCTCGAGGGCGAGGTATTTGGCAACTTACAGGGGGCTTTTTCGAACAACACGTACAAGACTCTCCGTCTCGTCGGTGACAAGCACGACTTCATGTACGGCGTCTGGTGTACCAACGAGCACCAGCTATACGACATGAAGACTGATCCACACCAAATGACGAATTTGTATGGAAGCGAGGAAGAGACTTCGGGATACGACATACCTGCCCTGTCTGCTCGTCTGGACGCCCTGCTGCTCACCCTCAAGAGCTGCAAGGGCAAAGTCTGTAGAGAGCCTTGGAAAACGCTATTTCCTGATCCCAAAGACAACGTCCGCTCGCTTGACGATGCCATGGATACAAAGTATGATGATTTCTTTTTCAATCAACAGAAGAAGGTGACTTTTTCAGAATGTGTAAATGGGTACATTACGGAATATGAGGGAGCGTTGGAGCCTGTGGGCTACGTGGACTGGGATAGATATCTCTCTGAGAACAGGTGGGCTGATGAGACTTGAACTGGGCACTTGTTGCCTCGTGTACCTACTTGCGGTTTGAGATATTTATTATTAAATTAAACGAGGTAACTTGGCAGAGTATATATATAGTAAATAAAATCATATATAGGAGACCTTTAAATCCGGGTATATACTATATGTATTGGGTTTGAATCATATAGCTGGCTCTAAATAAAAGATCAGCCTCCCAGACTATAAGAGCAAGCTGGGCCCGGCTTAAACCCAGCCAATCTGCGGCTGAGAACAGCAACGTCAGCCATTCGTCACTTTAACAGCAATAAACGATGTACATGATCAATAAGCTCACGCACCTAGTTATAAAGCAACATACTCTGCATGGCATGTTGTTCTCATTATATATATCCCCCTCTCCCCGCTGCCCGCTCCTCGCGGCCAAAATCTCCTACCTAGTAACCCTTCCACAAGCAGAGCGCAAGATGTCGATCAACAACTCAAATAAAGTGAGTGAAAGCCACGTTCTGAATCCTACCGTAAACCCAGCGAACAGGCCTAATCGCACAAACGTATTGGGGACAGGACCCGAGGCAGAACATTCCGCCAACACTGAAGCTGCGCGCACTTCCCACTCCTTTTGCCGTCCAAAGCGTGCCCTCATCCTTGACCAAAACAGTCCAAGTAGACGGGGAGAATGCCTTTCCATGCCGCCGCTGTCTACAGGACGGAAAGATGGGAGATTTCATGCTCCTTGCGCCTTACGATCCGTGGCTAGGCGACAGCCCGTACAGACAGCCGGGACCTATTTTCGTGCATTCAACACCGCAATGCGCGCCGTACAAGCCGGATGGTCTGCTTCCCCAACAACTCCGCCGGCGGCTCATTTCTGTCCGATGCTTTGACTCGGCTCATTGCTTAGTGAGTGCGGATGTGGTACAGGGGGATGAACTGATGCGCGTCTCTGCCAAAATGATGGAAAATGAAAAGGCCGAGTATATCCACCTTCACTACGCGCGGCCAGGATGCTTTGCCGTTCGTATCGACCGTGCCTAATTGGGAAAGTGGATGGAAGAAATAGAGCAAGGTGTTTAACTTGCTATGAGTATGTAGCTACTATTGAGACAATCTTGAGCAACTACATGACGGACAGCTCTATCTAGCAAGGCTTTGTATCAGCGTTGCTACGCCTTTTCCGCCCATAGCTACTGTCTAATATGCTAAGCAAGAGCTACATCCCAGAAACACGCACGAATTAGGCTATTGTGAGGTTAATTTGCAGTTCATCTCCACAAAATTATGACAAGGTAATTCTGGGAGACAAGAGATTCGTTCGAAAGCATCAATGAATCGTCTAGCAGACTCTAGGCTAGGACGGGATAAATCTCTGCGTTTATAGACAAGTAAAGCGTTCTATGAATGTAAAGACATGTACAAGCTGACCCCTTTTATTTACAAGCCGCCAGCGGCGCAAATTGACGCAGCAGCAGCAACCTGCTTCTCATAGCGATCGGGAAAACTCGACTGCTGGATCTTTTGGCACAGAGCGCCAACGCTCAGAGTCTGCCAGCCACCGATACGCTTCATCTGAGAAAAGAACTGGCCCGCAGAACAGCCGGCATCCATGCTGCAGGCAATGTTCTTGTAGACGGAGGCGCGCTGTTGGAAAATACCAATGGAGTCGTTATCAGAGCTAATGCCGCCGTGACGATACGTCAACGATGCCGGGACCGCGTTGTTCGCGTACATGAGAAGCTTAGACTATTGCATTTATAAATTTGTCAGCGAATTGTCACGGCTTAAAAGGATAGGAGACGGCGGATCGGTGACAAACCTCGACGAGACCAGTGGCAATGGCGGCCTGGCAGCCGTGTCGTTGGACACCAGCGGCCTTGGCCTTGGCAATGATTGATTTGGCGTAGCCGCTTTGCGCGGCATTGAGGCTGGGAAGGTTGGACAGGGCGGCCTCAGGTTTGGGGACAGGGGAAGCGACTGCGGCGGTGACGCCGACGACGAGATAGGCCAGGAGGTTGGTGAACTTCATGCTGCTGTGTTCTTGGAAACCCGAAACTTTGTGGAAAAACTTTGTGGAATTTTGGGGAAATGGTGTTTTTGGTGAAAGAAGTAGAAGCTTGGATGTCTTTAATGACCGGGTATGACGGTCCTATTTATGGAATTGATAGCAACTCTCGAGCACTTGTCATGGGCTCGTAGCAAGTTCTACTTACCAGACACCACCGAGAACCGGCAGGGTCCGGATACCGAATAGAGTCGAGTGGGACTGGAGTGACCGCATCTGCGAACTCCGGGCGCAAATGTCTAACATGGTCATTCGAAGCTTCTTGTCAAACATGATCCTACGCCTGCTCCGCAAGGTTATTTCTCACTAGTGTACAATTATTTTGCTTATAGAAACGGTTGGTATCCAATCAAGACGGCCCATGATGCCACGCCGTCTACTCCGTACAACTTGTGCTAGTACTAGCTGATGCACATACTGGACGCGACACCGAGTCGACAACAGCATCGGTCAACACCGGGTTGAGACGCAGCAATAAGACATGACCGTGTAGACTACGAAGCAGAATTACTATCTCTGAGCATCCTTATTCACGTTGTAGGAGAGCATGAAAGCTGTTATAGGACCAGTCCTCGTATTGTCAAGTGATTGGTCTTGAGTTGACTACTACCATGTCATCCACGAGAGCCTCGTTCCCATATCGCCCCTTCCCGACATTGAAGGGGCTCGGATCTGCCGTTTAGGGACCTGCAGTAAGGCTGGATGGTTTCTCTGCCAGCAACCCACTATAGAATGAACTGCCGGCACTAGAAGCCATTGAAAAGATGGGTCAATGCCAACTAGTTACTGCCTGTCACGGTTCACATGTCTTGTTAACCTATTGCGGCACGACCGCTGACAAACTTGCGGCTAGGGGTGGGCTGTCGCAACCCGGCGGTGTTTCCGAGACCTAGCTCCTGATAACTAGGCAGAAAAAGTAGGTTTCATCGGCCACCCCAATAGTCACGGGCCAAAAGCTTCAAAGATGGGACTGTGCGGGGTGGTTTTGGATAATATTCTGTGTGATGTTGTTTCCGCGTTCCAGGGGTGCATGAAAGATCTACATAATATGTAGATAGACTACAGGAAGCGTTTACACGTCGAGCGAGTAGTAGAAACGTAGCATGTTGGGGAATGGAAAAATGGGGAGACCGGCGGCGACACCGATACAACAGAACCACGGTTGAGGGAAATCCGCCATTCCCATAACAGCTTGTAAGCGCATTACCTCGTCTTACAAGTAGAGTTCACATCCTTTTGATTATGTACAGTCGTCACAAGGGATTATCAAATACCCAAGTCTGAGCCGCAAGTCATATCTTTGAGGTAAAGCATGGGTTAGGGTTAAAGTTTATGCAACAGAAAAACTCTTTGTTTTTTGAGTTATTATGATATAGTATAATGAGTATTATTGCATATTGCTCTACTCTGTTGGCTTTATTGGTTTATATACTTGAAGTACGTGAAGAGTCCCGAGCGTCTTCGACCCCCAACTCGATTACATGCTACTGCATTACTCCTTCCGCGAAGACGCCGCCTTTCAACAGCCTAGTCAGCAAAATAACCGTAGACAACCATTCGTCGAAGAAGAAATTGAAAATAAACTCACCTATTGTGACTGTCTTCTTTATAAATTCATATGAGCAAATGGCTAATATGCCAATTATCCGTAAAATGTACTGTCCGTGCCGTTGTCTCCTACTCCGAAATAAACCATCTACTCTTCAGAGACTTCGATGCTTGCTTTCTTACACGTATATTGCAAATTGACGGACCAGTGCACCACCCCTCGCTATTTTTCAATTCTCCACGGTGCTCATCAATAGGTATAAGCCAACTTTCAGAAGTTTGGCATATTAACGCGGCATATGGGTAATGAAAGCCCCAGCAACAATACAGACGGTTGGATTTCTTTTTATTTCTGTACAAAAGTGAAGCGTCTCTAGCTAACGATAATTAATCGACTCTATACTTAGTATAGCAGTGGCACAATTACCGAATTTTGAGCTGATTTGGCCAAGGGAGGTATCCCGATATTCTGTTATACTCGTGTATCACATCTCATGTATGACTCTGCGCATGAGGCAATTTGGAATTGAGGGCGAGAAGGCACCAGATGTTCTGGTAATGCTACCGATAGAAGAGAGGGATGCGTACACATAGGCCGCTTAGTATTCCTTCCACTGGACAATGTGAGAAACCAACCAAATCCGGCCATTAGCCCCATGTGATTAGTTGTCCTTAGGGGAGCCTATATCGAGAATTTGCTAGAGAAATCGCATAGCATCATGGTGTAGAAATTTCTGGTTTCATCTTGGTCATGTTCAGCTTTGCGTACTGCCGTGAAGGAAAGAGCGCGGACGAGTCTTGAGCGTAAAACGTAAACTGCCCAAAAAGCAGAAGACTCAACAACGGCTCGCTCATACCGAGCGGCGCAAGTACGAGTTTGTCCCCTTGTCGGATTGCATCGGTTCAGCGTGACGCAGGCGAAAGAAATCCCGACTCGGCTGCCTTCATGTTAGGTGAGGACCTGGAGCTGAGGCCTCCAGACTGGACATCTAGACTCTCTTGCCGCCGTGGACGACGATATTCGTCCAGGCCGCAGTCATGCCGCTGCAGAACAAGCGTATCAATAAGAGGGTGATGGCTAAGAACGAGTACTGAGAATAGACCACACAGCCACACTTGATTCTAGTTGCTGGCGAGGTCATTCACTTCACCGCCAGGGTAAACATGGCGCTGCGGAACAAGAGTACCGACGAATAGCTCCATTCGGGAAAGAGGAAGATAAGGGAGAAGATAAGGGACGGGAAGAAGGCTCGTACTGATGCCACCGATCACGCCTCTAGCGATTGAGTCAGCATTGGCAACGCTTTTACTCCAATCATGTCAGTGGAACTAAAGTAATCCTATAGAATGTTCAATTCAAATTAGCCAGATGCTTTATTTTAATGTTTCGGCATTTTATTGCGCAGCTATAAAAGCTGGTCATTTCCATGCCTGCCTAGTAAACAAGACGAGGTCGCAAACTGCCGCCAAAGCCATGCTGTGCCTGAGAGCATTGGATGAAACCCGTCAGCTATGTTGAGTATTCGTTTTTGTCGACAAGTCAAGCGTCTACCTGATCTACGAGATGGCGAGCGGGTTTCTGGTCAACAACACGCCACGGAAAATGACTGCTGATATTGGCCTTTGGAACAAATTAACTCCCGGCCATGTTTGCGGCCTCGTCTCATTCGCTGGTGGACGCACAGTTGAGCTGGGTTTCAGGTATGCATCGCAGTCGGCAACTGGCGTCTTCCAAAGCGCCTCCAGGCGTTCTTCGGAACAGTATGTATTTCCCGTGTAGCCTCTTCCAAAAGCTTGCAAGTCCTGTGTGAAGCCCCATGCGTTCCTGTGGGCGTTGAAAGCAGACAGATCCTACTGAGGATGATATTGATTCTGTAGGACGGTATGTATAGTATCAACCGTATGGCCGGAAAGCGACAAGAGTTTGTTTCCATACATGTCGGAACTGAATTGAGCTCTCGCTACTGAGAACTTGCTGCGGCACAGAATCTACCAATGCGATGTGGTCCAAAAGTAGAAGCCGTCAACGTCTCGTTCGATAGTGTAACAGCCGTTCGACCACCTGCCCACAAGGCAAAAAAAATGTGACGTTGTCATTAAGAGCTGCCTCTTGAAGTAGCCCAAACTCTCCGGAGCCATGGCCGTTCAAGAAGCTTTAGAACAGCTTCCATACGAAGGGCCAGATATTGGCCTCTCGAATTGCCACAGCATTTGTGGAGCGATACGATGTTGGTGAAGAAACTGACTACGTCTCTGTCGGTCTTTTCTCGGCATGACGACTGGAACAAATGAACAGGTCGGATTTCTTTGATAGCGTGATTGAGTGGTTGACAGGTCCGCATCGTCAGGGCAGTCCAATGGAGGCGGTGAGAAGAGGGCAGGTTCAAAGACAGAAGCCATGGACCTTGCTCAGGATATCAGTTGACGC